TCAAAACTCCAGTACTCTTCAAAATAACGTACTTATGTATAACACCGACAGTTGCACACCCCTAGCACCGGAACCCCAGGCTTTGGGTGGAATGCGAGCACAGCATACACGGTCTTGATAGGATCCCACAGCCGCAAGCTGAAGAGAGAAACCCGTGTGCAAGTCGAGTTCCGTGGCACTTTGCGACTACGAGGTACGCATCGAGACTCGGATGAGCGCTAGAAAATGAACGCAACAGGACGGGGGAATGTAACAGCGTTAGCCTAGATGGCGCTCACGTCTTTTTTTACAGCGGCACGGCTCAGCCCGGCGCGCTCCGCACGAGGTTTCTCGCAGCGCTCCGACGGGGCCGTGGGCAGAGCCGCACCGCACCGCACCGCACCGGGTGCGCACCGCTGGGCCGCCCCGCTCCGCACTGCGGCACCGCCACGGCCTGGAAAGAGGGGAGAAGATCCATTCTGCCAGTCCTGCAGGCAGCTCCCCACGCAGGTCTGCAGGACTGACCTCCATCAGTGTCACATCCAATCTGAGCGCGGGGGCACGCACTACTGCACTCCGACCGCTTGTAGGGGTTTGCTTTGGTTCGGTGCTGCTGATTCCCACATGTCATAAAACCCTTTGGCAAACAAAGTGTGAACTTTACCGTCAATGCCTCCAAGAGCCCTGTAGTCGTCACCTTCTGATCCATCTGTGCCATCAGAACACTGACTGCAGAGCTGCTGGGATTGCTTTGAACAAAGTAACTTGGGAGCAGGGTTAGGAGAGCTCACCCGAGTGGCCACGGATGTGCGTGTGCCATACAAACACCCTCAGACCCCAAAAGCAGAAGATACTTTAAAAGCAAATGGTAGTTGGGAGATATTATGATGTTAACACATTTCCTTTAAGAGAAAAGACATGGGATGCTCTGCTGGACACACACTGATAAGAGTGGGAATAACCACTCACATTAAACAACAGAAATCACTGTGCAGCTGGAAGGAGGTAGAACGACATGAACCATTCCTAACTCATATAAAGAGTGCTGGCACACTGCTGCTAGCTGCCCTCTGGAGCTCCTAGGGCAGAGCTGCCTGTGCCCACAAGAAGCCTCACCCCTGTGTGGGCACCTCCTGCCTGTAAACCCCACAACTACCACTGGTGCCAGCTCCTCCCAACATCCCACTCCCAGATATAGCCCCAGTGCGACTGCAACACCTCCTGTGGGAAAATAATTAAACCTGGTTAAAAAGCAGCATGCCAACACTATGCTGGCACTCTGACAGCAGCAGCACTTGGTGCTCCACAGAGGTTTCTCCACTTTCCTCCTCTGCTGCAAAGAGATTCCCAAGCACCCAGCCCTGCATCATGAGACATGGGGATGTCCTACAAGATCCCTCCCTGCCAAGCTCCACCTGCTTGCACCCAAACACTCTGAAACAGCCTGCCACAAAGAGGAGCTTTGCAGAAGCAGCTCCCAGTGGAGCAGAGAAGAGAAGAGCAGAGCATCCCACTCCCTCCCATTGCCAGCACTGATTTGCAGCTGTGGAAGCATTCAGCTGCCTCTGAGATTACAGAAATCTAAGCAGTGAGCTCCAACGTACGAAGTGCAACCACTGCACCGTCCAGAACCGATTAAGGAGATGCTCATCAAAAAAGCAAACACCTGTGCTGTTAATAGAGCCAACTGTGGGCTCCAATAGCAACCATCACCCTTACCCAGCTCACTCACCCACACCACTGAACCACCGCTGTCCTGCTCACACCTGGGCAATGCCCTGTGCTCAGGGAACACTTTTCCCTTCTCTTTGTTGGAGATTTCAAGTCCAGCTCCCAGAAACACCAGGAAGATTACAACGCAGCCACAGGTCAGGTTCTGGGGTACGACGTCACCCAGAAACACTGACTGTAAAGAAACCCTCACTCTGATGGCACTGATACAGAGCAGGGCTGCCCCTCTCCACGCCTCCCCACTGCAGCACCGGCTGCTCAGCACTCACATCCAAGCTACGACACTCAGATGCTCCCAGCCCTCCCTGTCCAGCTGGTGCTGCTCCATCCCTCAGCCACCCCCTATAGTGCACAGCCCCCCCAGCTGCCCTGCCCACCTCCAGGCCACCAACACGGCCCTTCACAATCCCAGGTGTTTTGCTCTGGGAAGGGAGGAGCTTCCAACCAGCTGGTATTGCCCACTGGGGCAGCTCTGCCACATAACACAGGTGTGAACGTAGCTTTAAAGTGGCAAAGCACAAAAAATCCTGCTTGTGAACATCAAGCAACTCTCTCCCAGAGACACTCATTAGTTTCTATTGGAACTATTAAGCAGGTGAAATCCCAAACTCATTTCCCACGCCACAACACAGCAGGTTCCAGCAGCACAGCTGCCCACCTCCAAATGCACTGCAATTGCCCACAACTCAGGCTCAGGTCCCTCCATGCTCATAAAGAAGAGCACCCACTGCTCCAAGATGAGCAGGATTAACTTGAAGACGTTCTGCTGCTGCCCTGAGGAAAATAAACATCCCCAGCAATGCAGCAGCAAGAGCTCTGCATCATATTTACCTTCTTCAAAACCAAGAAGGAGGGGGGGAGGCTGCTGTAACCCATGAGTCAACACAAAAGGGTCTCCTGTACCTTTGATGCTTCCCTGCTGCAGCCACACTGCACTCAAATACATGATGAAACACGAGGTTTATTTTACAATCTCTTTATTAAGTCCACCACAGTCATTTCCATGTTATTACAGAAGCTCTCCCCGATGGCCTTTTCCTTGATGTCTGCAGCTGTCCCAGGTGGTTTCCCCTTTTTAAATAGCAGATAAACCTCAGGATCCAGGCAGACAAACCCTGGGATCTGGAGCTTTCTTCCTTCCCATCCCTCTGGGTCGACCATTGCACCACGAGAGCTGCCCACTGACAAAGCTGTGTCAGCGGATGAAGGTCTTGCGGTTTACAGATGGATACCGTGCAATTTTTCTCCTACTAAACTAATCAAAATTGCATCGTGATCCACCCGACAACAGCAAAACAAAGCTTACCGTGCTGACAAACATCAAGCAGTGCAGCCTGAAGATCAGTCCTCCTTTCCTCCACAGGCCGGGACAAGTGCAATACTCTACACACAGCTACAAGTAATGCAACAAATCCCCACCCAGGGAGGAACCAGCGCAAGGCATCTTCAGATCTTCACAGCAAGAGGGGAAGAAAGCTTCAAACCCCACTATTCACCACTGATTCACCACCACCACAGTCAGTTTTGCATGGATTTGCACAGCAATTTTAGCAAGCTGGGATGCAAACCTGCAAAACTGACTGTGAGCAGCACCTCTCCAGAAGGCATCTTCTCCTGAAGCTGCCCCAAGCCAGGACGCACTTTATCTAACAGTACTGTAAGTGCCCACATTACAGTAGGTCCAATTCCAAGCTACCTGCACTATGAGCACTTTGATACTGCTAGGACACAGCTGCTTCCTGAGCAATAGCCTTCAATGAAACAAAATGAAATGCTGTGAGCTGGTAATCATTGAGCAGAGGGGTGGCTGCATGGCACTGGGTGTGCAAGCAGCAGCTTGTGCCAGAAGGAGCATTTAGGGCAGTAGATTCTACGCTACGTCACTAACTGCACTAGATGCACCTTAACACAAGGAGCACGAGTAGGGCAGAACCACAATGCTCCCGTCGTGCTCCAGCGCTGCATCGCCGTGGTCATGCCAGAAGTGCTTATACTGCAGTAGGTGCTGAGCTCTACCTGCACTGTAAGCACTTTTGCACAACTCAAGGCCCATCAGCAGAGGGATGCTCCCACAGCGAAGTCGTTCTCTTTGTGGTGTGGCAGTACCTGCAAGAGAGAAGATGAGGATGTATGAATGGTGCATGCAGCAGAGGTTCTCCCATTGAAGCCCAAATACAGAAAGCGGTTCAGAGACTTTATGCTGCAGTTTAGCAGCACACCCGGTGAGGAAGAGAAGGAAGAGTTTACAGCCAGTTGCCACTTAAGGTGGAAATGGCCTCTTCCACTGCCTTAATCGCAGTTAAAAGGCACCGCCATAGGCAGGGACCCAGCACATGGGCCGGGCCCTGACCTCTCCCCACAGCCCCAGCTCTGAAGGGAGGGGGATGGGAGGGGGGGCTGACACTCGACCCCGGGCTCTGCTCTCCAGATGATGCCGCACAAAGCGCCGGTCTCCCCCTCGTAGCACCACGTGCTGGAGGGAAAGGAGGGGGGGGGAGGAAGGGATTTTAAATTTCCCTCCAGAACCACTCTGTCACCAAACCGCAGCAGGACGCGGCAGGAACCCCCGCACAACTCACGGAGCGGCGGGCAGCCACGTGCAGGCTGCTCCCCCACCATCACCAACACCCCCCAACACCCCAACCCACGCCGTGTTTCCCCCCCCCCCCGCTCTCCCCGCCACGTGCCGCCCGCCCCGTCCGGGGGCCGCGCGCGCCGCGATTAAAGAGCGAAGGAACAAAGCACTGTGGGAAATGCAGTCCTCCATTCAAAGCCCCAAAAACGCGCCAAGCCGCCCAACCGCCCCCCCCCACCGCCTCTCCGGCCGCCGCCGCGGCACCGACCTCTCCGCCGCGCTCCCCCCCCGCCCCGAGGAGCGGCTCGGGCTCCCGCCGCCGACTTAACGACGAGGGCGGCTCCGCACGGCCGCGGGCGGCCCCTTTGTCCCGGCCCGACGGGGGCACCTCGGCCGCCTCCCGCCCCGCCGCCGCCGCCGCTCCCACCCCCTCCTCAGCCCTCCCCTCCCTTCCCGTTCCCCCCCCCACTCCCGCTCCCACCGCCCCCTCCCTTGCCTGAGCGCGGAGGAACGGAGCGCGGCGCCCCGACGGCGGCGGCACCGAGCGCGTGGTCCGGCTCCCGCCCGCCCCCTGCGCGCGCGCGCGCTCTCTCTCGTGGCGCGCTCCCCTTTCCGCCCCGCCCCCCTCCGGGTCGGACACTACACTTCCCAGCGTTCCCCGCGCGCCGCGCATGCGCCCCACCTCTCCGCACCCCCTCCACCCCTCGCCGCCGCCATGTGCTCGCCGCGCGCGCCCCCTCCCCCACGCACCGGCCACGCGGGGGCGGCGCGCGAACCCCCTTCACCCCCAACTCCCCGCAACCGCCGGACGCGGAGCAGCGCGCCGTGGGGTTGCGTGATGGTTTGGGGCGTCCGCGTAGAGTCCCCTTCATCCCAACATCCCGCACCGGGGATTCCCCCCCTCCCCAAAGTTCCGCTCTCGCCCCGTGGCCCCATCCATTGTTGGAGCCGTGGAAGCGCGGGGGGCGCGCAGCGATACCGAACGGCACCGCCGAGCTGTGCGGCCGTGCGGGCGGCCGAGCCCCGCACACTCCTACAGGTGGTGGTGTTGGGGGGGTGGTCACCCCGAGCCTCCCGCACCGCCCCACCCCCAACCCGCGCTGTGCTCAGCGCTGCGGGGTCCCGCGCTGCACCCCCGGCCCGAGAGCAGCGATCGCGGTGTAACCCCGGCATGGGAAAGGGGAGGGAGGGGAAGAGAAAAGCAAAAGAAAAGAAAGGAAGGCGGAAAAAAAAAAAAAGAAAAAGAAAAAAAACGCACAAAAAAAATAATAAAACGATAAAAAACAACGCGTGAGGACGCGAGGTGCACCGCCGGACCCGTGGTAGGGTTTGGGGAGGGAGAGGAAAAAGGAGCGGAAAAAGGGGAGAGAATGGAAAGATAAACACGGTACCTCGGAGCGCGAGCGGAGCCCTGGAATAAAAAGGGTTTTACGAAAGTGGCGCGAAGACAATATCATGTGATCCCAGCCCAGGGCGGCTCCCTCCGCACCGACCAGCCAAAAAAAGGGAGAGGAATAAAGGGGGAAAAAAGTACATCCGCTCCCCGCGCCATTAGCATAATTAATTGTGTCCTGCAGCTGCAGCCGCCGCTCCCCGGCCCGGCCTCCTCTTCCTCCCGGTGCGGGCCGAGCCGGCCGGGCTGCGGGGCTGCGCGGTGCTGCCGGCCCGGCTCCACGCGGGGCTGCGCGACCCGGCCGGGCTGAGCCGAACCCGCGGCCTCGGGCTCCGCGCGTGGCTCCGCGCTGTGGGGCCGCACGCCCGGGATCCCCGCGCACGTGGGGCCGCTCCCGTCCCAACCCCGCGCCGCGGCCACGCGTGGCTCAGGCGCTGCCGACGGAGAGCGCGGCCCCACCGCGGCGGTGAAAACCCCACGAGGAAGAGGCCCCGGCCCGGCTTGGCCTGCGTGCAGCCCGACCCACGGCTCGCCGCGAGGGCCTGCGTGGGGTTGGGGGTCTGCGTGCGGTTAGGTGGGGCTGCGGGCCGGCCCCGCTTTGTGGCCCGGGACCCCGGCCCCGATTGCAGCCCGCTCCCCGGGGTGAGGGGTCGGTGCGCCTTGGCGGGCGGCCTTCGCAGGAATGCTAAAAATGTGCTAATTGTGCCCTGCCGTGCCTCCCGGATTAGGGGTAGCCGTCATTTAGGAAATAGGAGCGTGGCTCCATCGATAGCGAAGGGCTTCGCCCCGCATCCCCCCGGCCCTCGGGTTCGGTGCGGCGATCCGGAGGTTCCTGGCATCGCCCTGAAGTTGGAACAAAAAGGTCCCCATGGAAACCGGGAGTCATCTATCAGTACCGCGTTCGGTACGCCACGAGAAAGGGGCTTTTGTCCCAACGGTATTTACTACTGCTTAATTTCTTTTTTTTTTTTTTTTTCCTTTACATTCCACAGCCAAGCCCTGCCATGTTTTCGGGCAGAGTTGGGCCGCGCCGCCCGGCCTCTCCCCATGCGCGTGTGTGCGAGGCCTAAAACAAAGCGACCGTGTCAAAGTGCTCCTGGTGAGATGGAAGGGCTCCCGCGGGCACGAGGGTTCCATGATCCCGACGTGATTTCTTCCAGAAGCAGTGGAAACGTTTGGATCGCTCTTTGCAAGCTTTGGTGTCGTGGTATCTCTGATGTCGGTCTGTCCGACTGCTGGGTTGGAGCTGCAGGGATGTGTGCTGTAAGGCAGTGCTCAGGGGTGATCAGCATTCAGATTTTCTCCTCTTTGCCAAAGTACTTTTATGAAGTCCTGAGCTGAAAGTGGAGAAACAGAGCGAAGCACTCAAAAATCAGCGTTGATAATTTAGCATGGAGTGCGTGAGTGCATTGTCAGTGCCTCTGCAGAAACAGAATGGTGCTTTAATGGAGTAATGAAAACTAAAATGTCCCAGAAACTCACGTGTGCACAACAGCGTGGAAAGAGCTCCCCAATAAAGGATGTTTAATGTCTAACTGTAAAAAAAAACTTAGAGAACGAAGCACTAAGCATGTCACAGCACTAAGTAGCTTCCTTGCAGTGGGAAAGAATCTTTCACTTTGATAATTTTCATTATGTATTATTCTTAGTCTTTTAAAGGGCTTTGTCTGGCTGCAGCATCCGTCTGCCATGTGAGCTGAGCAGAAATGTGGCACTTTGCTGATGGTCTTTTTGAATGCACGTGATTTATAGCTCATAAGGTGGTGCTTGTAAAGCACCCTCTTGTTGGGGTGGGGGTTGTTCCAGGTTAAGGTGAATTTCCCATATGGGGGCAGAGATTTTCCCAACGCCCTCTGAATGTATTGTGAAATGACACAGCTCACTCTTTTCCTTCTACAGACCTGCAGAAATTTGGACTCTTTCTACAACTGGATCGTGTGCGTGCACACACACCAAGAAGGTATTTGTTTCCTTCGCTGCACTTCTCGGCACTGCAGATAAATCTGTTGCATCTCATTTGGTTACTGATTCATTCACACACACACACACACACACCCCAGCAGCCATGGCCGAGAATCTTCTCCACTTCTCTTTCTTTCCAGAGTCAGAACTATTGTCCGACCTTTTTCATGCAGAGGAAAGCTCGGTGAGTTGTGTGGAGCTCTCTGCAGGCAGCAAGGGAAAGAAATGACAGCCAGAAGCAAGCCAGAGATGGATACAAGGGATGCATCATTGTGAAACAGAAAATCGGTTCTCCAAACAAACTGCTGGAACTGAGTGGATGGATGGGGAGATGTCTGACAGATTAACAACATGTAGCTGCTTTCTGAAAACCCTCGGATATCTGAAAGCCTTAAGGAGGAGTTCTGCTGGAGTTGCAAAGTGACAGAATGAAGTCAGTAGCCGAAATGATGCTGCAGCCACATCTGGAGTTTGCTTCAGGTGGAGTGCTTTAACTTTCTGAAAGTGAACCATTGCACATCTCAGGGTCGTCTTCAAGAGAAACAGGAGATGCAGAGGAGTACATCCAAGAGAAGCACTTTAATCACTCAGCACAAATTCACTTTCCCAGCCCCACCTGGAGCAGAACTTTCCCTGCAGTTCCCCCAGCACAGCTCTGTACATCCATGCAGAATTGGACTTACTGAGGGGTTTGCCTTCATTTCGCCCTCTGCCCACTTTTGGATGCCCACATACCTGCAGCCACATCTCCTGCCCTGCTGCCTTGTCTCTGTTGTACTGCATTCCGATGAAAAATAGACGGAATGAAAATTATTTTCCTCTTGTGAGGACAGAATAAATAGAAATACTTTCAGATAATGATGCAATTTTTTCCTCAGTATCACTGAAAAAATTAACTCGGTTTTGTTTTCTGAATCGCTCCTCTGTATTTGCACTTCTCTGTTAAACAGCAACTGAGAACAAACCGAGAATAAAAGTGGAGAGCATTTTTATTACAAAGGATTTCACCTTTCTGTCATTTTCGTACTAAAACAGATCTGAAACTGATATTCACCTCTTTAGTTCAATTTTTGTTTGACTTCATTGGAGAAACTTTGATATAGAAAAACAAGAGATGGATAACCTTTGTTTCTCTGCATTTTGTGTGTGAAATATACGTACAAAATCAACAAATCCTGTCCTAAATGAGACCAATCTACACATAAAATGGGAAATTATTTGCAATCAGAAACAAACAGCAATGGCATGGAGTTTGAGTCTATTTTTCTTTCTTTTACAGTATTGATTGCTATAACGAATAACGTAATGTTTGCTGTATATGAGGGATCACCTCATGTCTTTTTAAGAGCTCTTTGACAATCTTATATAGGCATGTTTGTTAAAACAAAATGCAAAGTTAGAGAGCAAAATCTGCTCTGTCTCCTATTTACTTTTGTAGCTCAGTGGATATGTAAAAGTGCTGGATTCTGCATTCAGCTTTCAGCAGGCTGAAATTCAACTTCTGGGCAGCAATTCCATGCAATTGCTATAGGTTTTGATTCTGCGACTTCTTTCCACTTTCACTGACACTGGGGCACTGAACAAGTTAAAAAGAAACTCCTCCTTTCACAGCACTGAGTTCTTTGTGTATTTCTTCCAGGTGAGTAAAGTCCTGAAATCTGGAGATAAGTGCTCCAGCTGACCCTGAAATCCGGATAGAAGTCGTCTCCCTGACAATGCAGCTACTTGCATGAGTGAATGACCCGCGTTGTGTGCGCAGGGTAGGGCCCCATACAATATAGAAATGCTATGTTGAAAATGCTTTCCATATTAGCTATCTCAGTGATAGCTTTTGAATCTTTTTTTTCATGTCAAAATCCATTGTTTCAAGATGGAGTTTTGATCGCAGTTTTGGCTGTGTATTTTCTCCTTCAGGTTCTTACTAGATAGGCTTAGTCCCATTGGATGCACACATCTTCAGGCACACTGCACATCCTTCTGCTGTGTTGGTAAGATGGTGGGTTATCCTTTCCCAAATGATTTTATTAAACTCTGATTTGAGACTGGCCTTTCTCATCAGATGGTGTTTATTGTATTACAGCTGCTCTCCTTCCACTCCAAACGGGTATATTCCTCCCAGAAAGGTTCCCCATTTTGCCAAATATTACCAATAATTCAATTATTGGGATCTACAACAACATTTTATGTCACTCATAAATCCCCAAATATTCGTCGCAAAGCACAGTTTTCTATTTTGTAACAGTGCACAACTTCTCCCTTTGGGAGCTGCCTCAGAGGTGTTATTTCCCACAGCTGGCCATCAGAATGCACTGTGAGATCTCGTGCCAACCTCTATTCTTATAAGAACCACTATTGGCATCAGAGCTGGAAAGCATTCCCCACCACGAGCCCCATTCCTCAGCACATGCCCAGGCCCTCACCGCTGCGTGCAGAGCTTCTGCAGGCTCAATCAATTTGCAATCCCTGAGAGCCCTCCACCAAAACGAGTTACAAGGGCTGCTCTGTGGCTGCAATCTGTCAGATGCCTGATCCGAGCATGTGTGCCTTCCAGGTGTGGTTCAGCCCTGTGTGTGTGCAGCCCTCGGTCCCAGCGCTGAGCAGAACTTGGTGCACGTGCCCATCTCCTCCCTCAGATCAGTGGAGCAGAATGGTGCTTGTTTAAACTTCTGCACAATGCATAAACTTCAAGTCATTTCTAGATGAGACGTGAATTTCCAAAATACACTTCCTTTGCACCCCCCGACGCTTTAGAAATGAGTCAATAAATTACTGTTTCACTGCAGGTTACGTTTAAAATTCATTCTTTTTTTCAAGCCGTTACTCTGTTACTGTAAGATGTGCTACAACATTGGCTGCCTTTTTCTCTGCTCCCCCAGCGTGAAGATCTGAGAGGTAAGGACCATGAGTCGTCCTTCTGTTCCCTCTGTGCCACGTGGTCCCAGCGTTGCTCTCTACCCAAAAGTTTACTCTTGGGTAAAGGCAGCCTGTTCCCCTTTCCTGGGCTGGGCACAACACTGCTGTGGTTCTGGCAGTGGTTTCTGTTAGACTGCTGCTACAAAAGGGCAGAGGTACAGAGAGTGGCACACGTGAGGCCATTGGCAGGACTTGAGGAGCACAACAGGAGATGTCCATGATAGAAAGCAGAGCCTGTGGCCATCACATTCTGACTGTTGCCAGCCGGGCTGGGCAGAGAGCACCACAGCATGGCATGAGGTGGAGGAGCCCCAGCACAAAGAAGAGCACGGTCTGGCTCAGCACGGTGGGATAAGGGGTTTTCCCTGATGAAAAAACACCCAGATTCAGCCTAGCCTGGAAATGAGGCTGAGAGCAGAGTTTGCATAAGGAAAATCTGAGGTTTTGTTGAGGATTTTGTGGAAAAATATATTAAAAATAATAATAATAATAATATATATATATATATACCGTTGTAGGAGGGGAGCTCTTCTCTTTATAAGAATGTGGTGGCAGTGTGTGGGTGAGGAGGGGACCTGCCACCCCCCCTGCCAGCAGCTCCAGCAGCAGCGTTCCCCCCCAGCAGCCGGCGTGGCTCTGCCCCCAAGCTGCAAACGGTCGAAATACATCGCTGGGAGTGAAAAGGAAAATATCCCCGAAACCTTGCATTAAATACCACGAGGGATAGAAGGACGTCGGGCTGAAGCCACGGGGCTGCCACGCATCCCCAGCCGGAACGCGGGCACCGCACGACGCCGTTAGGGGCGATGAATTTGCAGCGTCTCAGCGATGCGCGGCCGCTCCGCGATCGGCGCTCAGCGGCGCTGCTCCGCACACACAGATCGCTGCAGCGCCTCTGCCCTCCCACCGCCCCAATTCCTGCCTGTCGAACCCAGCCCTTTGCTGTTTATCGGCCTCGGGAAAGGCAGCCCCCTTCCCACGTTTGCACGAGTTTTTCCTCCCGCTGTATAAATGAAAGTATTTCTTTTGGAAGCAGCGCTTCTGCACCGTGATTTCGTTGAGCCAAATAGCATCCAGCCCACGGAATCGATGCAGAAAAAGGGCAGTTTTTCAGATTAATTACGCCTCTCAGGACAGCACATTTCGTTAGCAGTTAAGAAGAGTTTATTGCCCATCCGATCGCATCCAGTTACGTCCTGGTTAAGCAGGAGCCACGTGCAACTGGTTGAGGCAAATTTGCAGTTTACATTTCAGCGCTGTCGGCTCTGCAGAAATAAGTGGAAACATTCAAATTGTGGCCATTTAGCCCTGGAAACAGAAGCATTGCATCGTGCCTTTCATCACATCCCCCTACTAATGACTGTGGGGAGACAAGTCGCAATTACAGCCAATGTGTAGGAATATCCAGAGACTGAGAATTTGCACTAAAAGGAGTTAATAAACAAGCGAGTGATCTGCTTTGCAGATAGTGCTCTTATGTATGCCCTTCACTTAACAAAGATGGAGAAATCATGCTTTATTTTCCTTTGCTTTTGATGGGAAGTGCAGACAAGCTGTGCGAGCACCTGGAGCACATGGGCAGCATTGGTTGAGTGGGTCACATTAGGAGTGCACACCCATCTTTGCAGGATGAGCCTTTAAAAGTGTAAATCAACCATAGATATCGCGGGGTACAACTGTCCCTGTTCAATCGACTCCCACAAAATGTGGCATTCGGGAGCAAAAATGCCTTCGTGCCATGAAAAAATAGAGAAGTGTTGACTTCTGCCTCCTACAGGGCTGAGCTGGTAAAGGTGAAGCTGCTGCTGTTTGGCTCAATGTGAACCCGTCCTCCCAGCCACTTCGTCATCACAGCCAAGAATGATGGCCACCAAATACTGACGTTTGAAGATGTCACAAATATTTTTCTTCCATAGAACCATCGGAACATACTGAAGAGATTTCAAG